AATTTTTTGTTTATAAAGGCATACAAAATAATTTTGTGCAAGAGTCTGATATTAGAAATAGAAATGTGGTACTGTACAGGAACAACTAGCAGGAGTTTGAGAGTGTGTTTGAACCATGCAAATACCAAAGGGCACAATTCCATTTTTCAAACTATGATTTACTGACTACTTTCTTACAGTTTTTTTGTCATCCATCACTCTTGTAAGAATTAGTGGAAAAGAAACCAATTTGTGCACACTCATTAATCACATTTATTGGGAAATGATACACTGAAAAGTCAGTGGAGTTTGCCTATAAAAAGGCAATTATAGAATACTAATTTTATACTTGGCTAAGGGCTAGATCCAGACTTGGGTGTCTCCAGCTAAGCAGTGCAGAACCATTTTTTAAGCATCTGGACCTAAAAGCAGAAGCCAAAACTATAAATTGGGTGTTTAGGCTCTCTATATAGTGCATAGGAAATATTAGGTGTCCCAGGATGGTGATCCAGAAAATCTACAATACTCTGTGGAGCTGAGGTGCCTGTCCTGGCACTGCAAATAAGTCTCCTAACCAATGAAGATGAGGAACAAGTAATCATATTTTGAAAGTAAGGATGTGCTTTCTTTCAAAGAACTAAACAGAAATCACCGTTTTGTGGTAAAACAACAGTTGTGCCCACTTTTTATATAATGTTCTAGTGGTGAAAATACTCACCCAAGGAATGGAAGACCAGCTGTCACTAGTGCAATTGTGCGGCTGCGGCAGCAAACGTTAGTTTTGCCCTGCTCCTCCACCTTCAAGTCAGTGACTGGGGCTGCTTCCCTGGTCACCCTGCCCTAGTTATGCTACTGAGGCAGGGAATCACACCTGTATTTGCAGTGCCATATTTGCAGTGCCATAGCAAGAGGGTGGCAAGCAGGGTGACTGCCCCGGGCGCCAAAGCAAAGGGGTGCCGTCAGGGTGCGGGATGGAGCCGCAAGCAGCTCATTTGGGAGGGCACGGGGATGGGGGAAGGGCAGCTTCTGCCACTGCATGTGTCCCCCGGATTGTGCGGAGGGCGAGTGTGGGCTGCTGCTGTGGACTTTGCTTTGGGTGCCAAACTTCATTGCTATGGCACTGGTTATTTGACAGGTTAATACATACTCAGATGATTCTATGAAGAAAACAGTGTCCTGTGGTACAGAGGAAGACCACAAAAACCATGCTCCATGTCATTCTGACCTTTCAGGGGAGGGTGGAGGGGGGAAAGAACACTATTAAGTAGTTCAGACTCAGAATTTGATGTCATTTACAATGATAATCTCACTGAAAATGTCTAGATTCTAAATATTTATTTTGGATACTTTAATTTTCAAGCTTTTAAATAGTTGAAAAAAATGGAATCAAAACAGTAAGGTCTTGTAAGTAGTGGTATGTATTTTCTTCTCAATCCTTAAAGGGCCTTACTTACATAACCTAGGTATGCAAACTACTCTGTAGACTATAAAAAGGTCCATAGTTTAAGCACGTGAAGATGAGGCACTGTAATTTCTTCTCTGGTAAATTCATGGACTTGTATACATTTAACATTGTTATATTGTATCTTTAGTCCAGAGGTTAATAGAAATCAGCACAAACTGCACCTTTGATTATTGTGTTGCTCTTCCCCTGAGCTAAGAGCTGAATAAAATCCCTCACTTTTCTTCAGATATTTTAGACATCAGAAGTAGGGTGAGGACAGACAGAAACTAAGGCTGGGCTTGAATGCAAGAGCAAATCAGAAAGCTGAGGAAAGCAAGAGGAAAATTATTGACAGCTCTAGCAGCAGGACCCAACAACAAAATCTGTGAAATAAACTCCATAAATTTTGTATGGGAAATTCTTTGCTTTAGGGCTACTATACTTTATGTCAGTTACCTGCATTCCTAAAGGGTTGGTTGATGTTCAGGATCCCAGGACATAAGACATCTCAGTCATGGCACCCTACCCCAGTCCCATTTCCTGAGCTCTGTCAATTGTTTGCCTGCTGCAGAATCTTCTCAGCAGGGAGACTGCTGTTGAAACTGGATATGTCTGGTTTATGGCTAATTTACACTGGCTTAGTGCATGGTCAGAAATAATTTTAAAAACAACCAAAATAGAGATAAATTAACAGTGCTCTCACATTTTCCTTGAATATGACAGGAATTTGTTTTGTGTGTGGGATTATTAGTCTTTATCAGGGCAGGAAGGTACAGTAGGGAAGGTTGAAAGGAATCAAAAAGAATGCAGACTGAAAACAGACAAGGTTTGCTATGATACATATGGTTGAGGACAGTAGGAAGTGAGAGCCCAAAGACATCCATACAATATGATTACTGAGATAAAAATGTATAATCTTTGTGTAGACTGATCAGCCAACCAGAGACAGGTATTTGCATAACTGATTCACTTCTGGGTCAGTAACTGTTCAACATCTGTGCATACTGGTTGTCTGAGATAATTAAAATTAATACAAACTATATTGTTAATTATCAGTAAGCAAAGGGGTCCCTGTGTAATATTGCCTCAAGTTAGAAAGTAACCACCAAATTCAGAGAACTCTGGCAGTCAAGCTGACAACACCAGTTGGTGACAGAATATGGCACAAACTAAAATAATCGCTGCAGTGAAGTAATGGACTTAGTGCAGTAATTAAGCTCAGTGAACACACCATTCCTTCATACTAATTCTTGTTCCTATTAATCAAACTGGTTTTAATAGTACCAAGAAGCCAAAAAGCTTATCGAAAATATAGAAAAAATGTTTGTACAAAGCATAGTGCTAATTGTATGTTCTGAAATGAAAGATTTATTTGCCTTGTAAGGAAAATCCCATGAAGGGCTTGACTCTCCATAGCTTTGTGTAATTATTTACATTTATGGAAAGTAAACTTAAAATACTATGGGCTTGTCTTATTAGAAATATTCTGCAAAATAATCTGAATTCATTTTAAAATGGATTTTTAAACCCCTGTGTGTTCATTTTCTTTCAAGATTAAAATGTATATGTTTCAGTTTAGCTTAATTCAATTTGAAGTCAATGGAAGTTGTGACTACTGAATTTGATTCTTTTTGCCAGGCTTTGTTTTATTTAGTGTACAATATGTAGGGAGAATCCAAGTGCATTTGCAACCAGATTTTCAGCATTGGATGTGTTATTTTCCCACATAAGTGTGCATAGATCACTTGTTTACAGTAGCACAAGTCATTACTGCAGTTACAAATGGAAAAATAGATTTTTTGTCATCTGAATACCTACCTCCAAGGGTAGTTCCGGCAAACCAGTACAGTTTTGTGCAGACAAATGATCCTAAACTTATAGAAAAGGTCACCCTTAATATATTTCCTGTGTGTGTATAACACGACAGCTATAACCTGGCATTGTGGTGTATTGCATGGACTCTCACTCAGGTGCTTTTCTCCTGGTTTCTTTCCAGCTTTATTTTGGTGGCCTTCAGGGTTCACTAGGTGTGATCAAGTATTAAGAAACTTGTTTCGTGGAGCAAACACAACATTGCTGTTGCCAAGGGTGCACTTACTCTTAGAGAACTTACTCTAAGAGAACTTAAAGAACTTACTCTTGTTCCATAAAGAAGAGTCATCCACCTTTTGTCTAGATTGTGCTTCCTTGAGATATATCTGGTAAACTAGGTCCTAAGACACTGAAAGTAACTTGTTTGTTTCTTGCCTGCTTTTCTTTGGTTTTGTTCTTAGAATGGGTAAAAAAATAAAGAAGGAAGTGGAGCCTCCTCCCAAGGATGTGGTAAGTTTATAAAATGCTATATGCTATAAAATTAACATTTTACACAAGTATAGGCCCCAGTCCTACCCTCCTTACACAGTTCCTTACTCCCACTAATTTTCCTGTGTAATTCTAAAACTGTCTTGTAAAGATGATCCCATTTCTTCTTTCTGCAGATATGAAAAACAGTGTGACCTGGCATGTGTTGTTTTTATAACGATTATTGTCTTTGGCAGACTTTGCAAGCAGTAATGTATAAAGCAATCCAGGCTTCTTTTACTCTAAGAACTGTATGTTCCCTTCTATCTGTAAAAATCAGAAAAAGGGAGAGAAGTAACCTGAAATGTCCATGCCTGTGAGTTGTGGAGATGGACACATTCTTATTTCTGGAGAGACAGGTGTATAGAAGCATAGATGGGTCTGTAACTGCTTGGAGTGCAAAGATTTGCAGATATTTTGTTCTTATAGAATCTGAATTTTCTACAAAATGAGTCTGCATATGCTTCTATGCTTTGTTGCCCATTATCTTCTTCATCCTTCAATGCATGGTTTCTTTGAAGCCCACACTAATACTGACTGCATCTCAAATGATTGTGCAGTGTTACCATCTTAGAAGGAAGTGTAGGAGTCATGGAGATCTGTTAATATTCTATCTGCTCAGAGGTCTATTTTTGGTTGGGGAACTGCCACGTGGAATAGCTGCTCCCTGGTCTACCAGTCACCTGCAGATCTGAAAACCCTAGAACTTAGAGTAGTTTGTGAAGATGCTTTTATAGGTGCCTTGGGAGTGCTACTCAGTTACTGCCTCAGTCCTGCTGCTTATTTTGGGTTATTCCCTTGTTTTGTATTTCTTTCACCCCCAGACATATCAAGGAGGGCAACTCACGTTCCAAACTACTGTTTTTTTGCTGGATTCAGTAGATGTGGACTCAGGCCAGGTGTCAGTGGTCCTTCCACATAGTTAAATGAATTATTCTTATTTATAAGTGCCTAGGTCACTTCCAGCAAGGCCAGGAGTGCATTGCAGATGAGAAATGTGATTTCCTTCTAATATTACAACTCAGAAGTTTCAAGAAGTGTTATTTTATTTGCTTATGATAGGCAAGTTATGGGAAATGTGGAGAATTTCTGTATTTTTCTCAGTATGTACATTTCAGTATACATACTTGTATACTGTGATGTTTAAGGCATGAAGGGTTTGATTTCTGCCTCCTCCACAATCAAGGATAGGGAAGTTAGAAAAGAGTAATGGTTACCAAATTACCTTGGAGAGACGGTGGAAAGCAAGTAGCTACACACTAACATTTAACAACAGTCAGCAAAAAGGCAGAACATGGGTAAACAACATAACTGGAATTTGATATGCAGAAATGAGATATTAGGCCACTGTGCTGAGAGGTCTTCTGCCTAGTTCAGGAAAATAGCGGGAATCCTGGTATAAGAACAGGGTCATAGACAGTCTAGCCTGGTGATTAGGCCACTGGGGAAGGGCAGGTGCCAGGGGCAGAGTCCAAATTACAGGCTGAGTCAGGGGTCAGGGGCTTTGGGCATGTGTAGATGAAATGATATTTCCCATTTATGCTGATGCAACTGCGTTTGTGTTTGCATGATCCAGGATTTCCCACTGCTCTAAAGTCCATTTAGCACCCTAAACTAACACTACTTGGAGATGTGTTAATTTGGGGTACTCTCCAGTTACACTGCTCCAACTGGATTTGTTTGTCCAAACAAACCAGGGACTCCAAAGCCAGGGACTCCAAAGACTTGAATCCCCTTCCCCACAAGGGGGTGCTGTGTTCTGGCCTTTAGCCAGTAGGTACCACTGTGTGTTTTTTGGTTTTTTTGGTTTTTTTGTTACCCTCCTCATCCCTCCCTCCTACCTTCTTCCTCACAGCACACAGTGGAGTGGCCATAGGTTCAGGTTTGGACGGGTCCTCAGAAAAATGTATTATTATTTTAAAATGGGGGAGGCCAATAATCCCTTAATTTTATATACCTTCTTAATTCTTTGCCCCCCCCACCCCGCCACCTATAGTCTATGTAGTTACATGACTTACTTTAATATCACAAACCTTTAAACTTCATCGCATTCCATTTCAGAACCACGTCAAAAAAAAGTCCAGGGGCAGGATGCTGCCTGCCAGACCCAACGCCCAGTATATGCAGCGTCCCAGGTGATATTTATAGACTTCATAAATTTCATAGACATTCAGGCTGGAAGGGATCTCGGAAGATCATCAAGTCCAGCCACCTGCCCCAGGGGCAGGAAGTCAGCAGGGGTCATAGGATCCCAGCAAGATAACCATCCAAATGTCTCTTGAAGGTGTTCAAAGTAGGTGCTTGAACCACCTCCAGCAGCAGTCTATTCCAGACCTTGGGGGCTTGGACAGTTAAAAAGTTCTTCCTTATGTTCAGCCTGAAACGGTCATGGAGGAGTTTGTGACCGTTCGATCTTGTCATCCCTTGGGGCGCTCTGGTGAACAGACGTTCCCCCAGATCCTGATGAGCACCTCTGATAAACTTATAGGTGGCCACCTGATCACCCCTGAGCCTGCGTTTTTCCAGGCTAAAGAGTCCCATAGCTCTCAGCCTCTCATCATAAGGTCTGTTTCCCTGACCTCTTATCGTATGTGTGGCTCTCCTCTGGACCCTCTCAAGCTTCTCCACATCCTTTTTGAATTGTGTAGCCCAAAACTGGATGCAGTACTCCAGCTGCGGCCTCACCAAGCCTGAGTACAACAGGAGAATGACACCCTGGAATTTGCTTGAGAAGCATCTATGGATGCAAGCCAATGTTTTCCTTGCTTTACTAGCTGCAGCATCACATTGATGGCTCATGTTCATCTTTGGGGTCAGTCATGACCCCCAAGTCCTTTTCGTCCATAGTGCTAGCCAGCATAGCACTGCTGAGCCTATAAACATGCTGCAGGTTTTTCTTCCCAAGGTGGAGAACCTTGCATTTTTTGGTGTTAAACACCATCAGGTTCTCATCTGCCCATTTCCTGAGCCTATCAAGGTCAACCTGGATCACGCTCCTGGATCACGCTCCTGTCCTCAAGTGTGGATGCTTTACCCCAAAGTTTGGTGTCATATTTAGGTAATATGTTCCACCGATCTTATGTGTGTGTGTGTGTGGGGTGGGGGGGCAAAAGTCTGTTTTTTTCCCACTGTGCTCCAAACCCCATCTCCTCTTCCTCTTCCTTTTTCCCCCTCCTTGCAAAAAAAATTTATGGATGGAACTTGCCGGAGGCAGCAGCTGGCCCAATAATGAATGAGGAGAGTGAAATATGTTCAGATTTGCAATTTTTAAATTTATTTTTTACATTTTGTATATATTTTATATTGTCAAACTGCAGCCTTTTCAATAAGTGTTTTATTTTTGCTCTATATATGTGTCTTGTTTTCTTTGGGGTGGGTGGGTGGTTGGGTTGGTTTTTGGAGACTGCTTCTGCCTCATCATGGGGGTGCTGTGCTTGGGAGTTTTTTATGGAATCATGGCATTACTGGAAAGAGTTGCAAAGAGTTGCAGGGTAGACTGTTAGCGGGGGGAGGGAGGTTGAATGCTTGTTAAGTACTACCTAGGGTGCAGCCAGCATTTCTTTAAAAAAAAAAGACTAAACTCTCCCACCCACCCCTAGCAGCAAACAGGCAATCTGCAAAATGTCTCTGTGCATGAACCTCCTAGGACCTTTAGTCTTTAGCAAGCCTTTAAGACTTTAGCAAGTCTTTAATGCATTATAATGCATTTCATATGCATGGTTGCTGAGGGGGGTAGGGAGCTGGGGTTAACCCCTGCTGCCACAGCTCCAAAACAACTTTTTTTTTTCTTTGCAGGATGTACTGTTATGGGAGGTGCGATGCAAAACTGATTTTCTTTTCAGTGCTTTCTTTGCAATGCAGTGTTTTCTTTCCAAAATCCTACATGCAGCATCTTTTGGAGCTGGGTTTGCAGACCCCCTCCCCCTCACCCCGGCCGCCTGCAACCTGGTCCCCCCTGGAGAGAGCTCATCAGATTTTGTTGAGGATTGCTTTGTCCTCCCTTGCTATATCTCTCCTCTCAGCCTTATCAAAGGACAGGGAAAAGGTGAGAGAGAAATGAGGAGCAACCCTCCCAAGGCAGCCTAGGGTAATCTGTTCTGCTACCTCTAGGCGTCTGCAGAATCAAGTGTATTCAAAGAAAGCATCATTGTGGGAGAACTTCTTTTCATCCAAATTCAAGAAATCTGTAATACCTCCTTCTTCTACACTAGGTATTGGCATGTCCTCATCAGATGGGTCTCAGCTAAGCGGAGCTGCTAATTAACCCAGGCCAGGGTTTCAAAAAGCACTCTGCTCCCTATAGAGAGGCCAGAAGTGTTATGCAGCAGATGGTTATCCCAAGACATATTATTGAGGTGCCTGGAGGGGAGGCCAACCAATCTGAAATACGGGCCCTGACCAGCTTTGTGCCCAGCTTGGGAAGCTACTGCACTCCTGCCCCTGGCTGGCTGCAAACCGCTCCCCCGTTCCCAGGTCCATGCCCTGAAATCAAGCAGGAGCAAGTATGAATCAGAGTTTTTTGTTCCTCATCTTTATTTTGTTCACAACAAATTGAATTGCAATCAATTTGATTGAGAAGTCACAATAAAGCTAAAACATTATACATAGTTTTGTTTTACTCAACAATGCCATTCGTAGTCAACTGGTAAATACATTTTTTTACAGTGCAGCCATTGCCAGCAATACAATAGGATAAAACACCAATTCACAGTATGCTCCCAAGGTCCCTTGAGTAATCCCTTGATACGATATGGATGGATGGCTGCATGGTGGGAGGGAGGGAGGCAAGCAGGCAGCCAGCCTGGTTTCTGGCCCTTCCTGGTTACTGGCCATGTCCCAGCAGTGTTTTATTTGATCTATATGGCATGCATGTCCAATGTGGGGTGGGTGGGGTTCTTTTCAGAGAGATGATGTCTGTGACTTTTATGGAGTCATGCCATTACTGGAAAGTTACAGGGTGGACTGTTATTGGATGGAGGGAG